GTGTGCCATTTTTATCTGGCTGTGCATATCACAGCCACCGTCCATTCTGGATGGTGTATAAGCCCGGTGCGTGACCACCCTACTTTTTGGGGGGTGTTCACGCACCCCCTTTCATAAATTGCAGGCCCATATATATGCACGTGTGTTTTGTTTTAGTGTTTTAAATGTTTTTCTGTTTATGGTTAAGGTGTTTTAAATGAATTTCTGCATAGGAAAAGTGGAACTGTTGTTGAGTAACACCCATTGTACTGTTATCTACTAAAGATAACCTACATACAGTTTAATGACCCGCGTCACCTAGATGATTTTGTGCTCCACTTTACAAAATTTATCCTCAGCTACCAGGAAAATTTTTGGAATTGCCAACACTGGTGTTGAATTCGCAAAAGCTGAAACAAGCATTTATGGTGTACTTAGCGTCATTATTCCGCCAATAGTACTTTCTGGCGTCATGCTGTTGCTCATGATTTTGCTGACATAGGAAAAGAGCAATGATCTCAATGTTCCTGGTCTTCGGGATTACTTGCTGTTGTGTTTTCGTGAATCAGTATGCAGCGTTGGCTTAGACAAATCGAGTGACAATATTGCGACCCTATTTTTTAGCAGTGGCGTGTGCGCCAGTTTCCCCACCTCCAATCTACTCACATTCCATTTAGGTGGGGAATTGGCCGCCAAGAAAGTTGAGTCGTCAACCTTATTGTTATCTGTAGCAAGGAATTAGTGGATGGATTATATTCATTCTGCTCCTTCCGCCCGCTTCCGGCGGTAGGATCCGATCTTTACCTAATACGTTAAATGTCATATTGGCATGCCACGAACTAGGTGGCTACCGTGTACCGGCTTAAAACTAACTGAGAAGTGGCTGCGGAGTGCGGATCCTCTGAGCAAGTGGTACAGTGCGTACCAGGAACCACTGGTGGTGTTGGCGGAGACTGATGCTGAGCAGTTCAGCTATACAGCGTGTGCATACCCAGCTGCTCTCCCCCTCCGCTCCACACGGGGGAGGTGCAGCCGTGCTTATCATTGTTTCGGCCCATTGCATCCCATCGCATCATTTGTTTTTATTTCCAAGGAATGCTCGGTACGGGGCATTTTGATGCGTTATAAGTTACAAAACCTTAAACTATATCGCCCATTCATGCATGCAGCACCCCTTCGCATTTAACACCACTGTTCATTTTTGCGAATTGGCAGCACTCCGACTACGTTGCTGGTGAATCTAGCCAACTAGAACTCCCTGGCTTACTTTGATATATTTCGTCAAGAAAAGTCTCTAGCGACTGGGATACAAATTTGCGCCGCCGCCAGACGTCGGCCGCCCGCCACCTGGTGGCAAGGCCCTGTGACGACGGGGCGGCAGGATAATACCAGAATATGCTAGATTTCAAATTGGCACCGGCACAGTGATCTCATATGCTGCTGTTTATCCATTACTTTTGTACTTTTGCCACTTAAATGAAATTGGTGAACACATAATAGCTGGCTAGGAATTGTCACCGGATATAGAAAATATGTAGATAAGTGTCCTCGATAGCCTAAAACTTTACCTAAATCTGGCAATGTTAAGATTATGGTGTTCCGGCAACAGAACAAAGCTGCACGTCCGTCAAGTTGGCACCACATTCACATTCAGATTCAGGTCCATATTCGGGATTCAGCGGACTCCTCAAATTGCCCTGAAACTTTGCACACAGATGCAGTTTAACCTCCTGAACACAATGAGCACAAAATTTCGGACCGGTACGCCCTATTACCGGATATATATCAATATCAACGATCATGAAAAACAAGGCGGACTCCTTCAATTCCTTCTAAACTCCGTGTGCTGGTAGACATTGACCTCCTGATAACGATAAGTACAAAATCTTGGACCGGTACACCGTATCAAAAAAGTAACAGCTGTTATAATGTCAAGGTCGCGAATGCAACGCGTATCGCATTTCATCAGGCTTAACTCAGTTTCATATTCGAAATTCAGCGCACTCCTCAAATTGGCCTGAAACTTTGCACACAGATGCAGTTGGATCTCCTGAGCACAGTGAGCACAAAATCTCGGACCGGTATTTAGGTAGACCGGTAGCCCTATTACCGGAGATATCACGATATGAAAGATCACAATAGAAAATGCGGACTCCTTCAATCCTTTCCGAAATCCGCGTTTTGGTACATATTAGCCCTCTGATTACGATAGACACAAAATTTTGGACCGGTACACTGTATCAAAAAAGTTATAGTTTTTCAAATGCCGAAGCTGCTTAGGTATGGCGTATATGAGGCATGGATCACGTTTTCTTCATCCTTGACTCATTTTCATATTCCATATTCAGCGGACTCTGCATTCACGACCTTGACATTATAACAGCTATAACTTTTTTGATACAGCGTACCGATCCAAAATTTTGCGTTTATCGTTATCAGGTAAATATCTACAAGCACGCGGAGTTTAGAAAGAATTGAAGGAGTCCGCCTTTATATTGTGATCTTTGATATTTATATATCTCCGGTAATAGGGTGTACCGGTCCGAGATTTTGTGCTCATTGTGTTCAGGATATTAAACTGCATCTGTGTGCAAAGTTTCAGGGCAATTTGAGGAGTCCGCTGAATCCCGAATATGGACCTGAATCTGAATGTGAATGTGGTGCCAACTTGACGGGCGTCAAAACTGCATGGTTCTGCTGGCAGCATACAAGGTGCCCGCCCTTCCTGCCAGGGTGAGAGGTAGGCGACGCTATATAGTCTCAGCATCTGAGTACGTCGTAAAACCCCAGTGACATGACACACATCACATGCAGTATGCAGGGCAGTGCAAGCATTTTTCGCTGCTCATTGCTCGGCAATCTCGGTGGACATTTTCGTAAGAGTAACTACAATAACACTGTCCTGACGTTTATGCAGTCATCTTCCCTAAATTGCGTCCCGAAATAGCTTATAAATAAGCAAAACCTCTAATTTTTGGACCCTGCACCGGTGTTACATTAAAAGTTGTCATGGAAGCAGATGGCACGTGGATGTGCGACTCAGCACGTGCATGATGAAGGTATTCGCATGTTTCTAGCATTGGTCTAATTACAGAAATATGTCTAACGCATTCCATTGGGGCATTCACACTCAAATCTCAAGTATGTCTGGGCCTACCAGCAGATATCGAAGGAATCACACAAAATGCTTCAGTTTGACACTTTAAATTTTGTCTCTAGATGTGCAACTAACCATGTTTGGCACATCAAACCAACTTTGTAAGGCTTCACTGTGCCAGGATCATCTACATCGCGAGTGACCTACAAATTTGCAAGATATTCAGGCCCAATTTTCATGAATTCTTGGCTTTTGCAGGTCAAGGGCATGGGAGGAGGAGGGGTTGAGAATTTTACAGCTTAGGGCTGATCTTCAACATTTCTTTTTGCAGCTTTGTGTTTTGCATTTTATTAAGCGACAAAAACTCCTTAGGCAGTATGTTCCTAAAACAAAATGTTGACTTGGGTCATTTTAGGTCAATGACCTATTTTGACCTCTAAGGGGTGCACAGAAGATCTATAACGCGGCTCCTGCTATCAATAAATCCGACAGGAGCACCAGAAACCATCCCATACAGCAAGCCCTGGAGTAACAAAACAGATTGGTTTTGACCTTGGCGTGACCTTCATACCTGACCTTAGGACAATGTAATTTGCTCATTCAACAGTTGTGTTGCCTAAGAAAACATATCAGAGATGTATGGCTTCATCTAACACTCCATTGTTGGATCAGTTTGAAGGATTCCCTAGAAATTGCCCTTGCTGAAACCATTGCCTGACTTTGACCACCTGCCATAGGTCAGCAAACTTGCAAGGTACATGTAAATCTTTGGTGCCGAACGATCCGCTATTCAACTGTCTACAGTTACACAAAATTTGGCGTGGCTACGCCGCGCCGTTTGGAAACCATTCTGAAAAACCTTTAGGGGGGTTAGTTTGACCCCCCCATCCGAGCGCGTGTTTAGTCTGCACGGGTGTAACGCCAATACTACGCATTTGGGACCATAACTGCACCGGCCCAAAATTGCAAACAACTTAAGGTTAGGTATGGTTACGACGATGCACGGAAGGAGCAGGTCAAAAAATGGCATATGCACTCCTACCTTTTGCAAGCTTATGCGTTTGCTCAAAAGCGACTCGTGCATTGCTATCGCCGACATCATGCGAAATCAGGTCGCATCTGCCTTTCCGGCCCTTCTGCTCATCAACACCCTTAGTGCTGCTCTTAGCACGCGCTCGGATGGGTAGTCAAACTGACCCTTCCCCCCAAAGGTTTTTCTGGAATGACTTCCAGAACGACGCGAACTAGCCGAGCGAAGTTTTGCATAGCTATACACAGTTGAATAGCGGATCGTTGGCGAAGAACCTCACACTTTGGCTTAAATGAGATCATGTAAAGGTCATTACACCCTGTGAATTTGATGTCCCTGGCTCTGTTAATTCCTGAGATCTCAGAGGGGTCAGTCTGACTCCCGAGCGAAGGGTATCCGACCGGCCACTCGGACGCGTGTTAATACTGCATGTAACCGTTGCCGCCTTCTCAGTGGTTGTACACTCAAAAGTTTCCCTTCCACTGAGCTGACCGCTCGTTTATACGTGTCACCGGTTCGAAGTAACCTGCATCTGGATTGCAACTAGAAACGTTCCGTGACAGTAAGGGTAATAATCATCCCTTATGTTGCTGAAAATCGCCCTTATTGGATGTAAAACATGGTATGGGCATAGGGGCTGGTGTTGGAATATTTGACCCGCCACAGCTGTTTTAACCACGGGTATGGCTAGGAGACATACTGGCAAACGTCCTGAGACTTATTTTTATGGGAGAGAACGACTAAGAAGTATTCTAAAACGATTATTAAAAATACGCATTGCGGTGCCCTTTAACGCAAATGGCCTGGGGCATTTCCTTGGTGACGTCACCATGGGAATACCAGGTCTAGTCCCGACTAGGTTCCGAACCCCCCCCCCCCCCCCCTGCCTGGTGGTAGCCGGGCGCGAAGGCGGGGAAGACCTCTGCTCCTTGCAGGGCGCCGCCGTGTCTGTCGCCCGATGCTGGCGCGCTTAGGGTGAAAAGCGGAGGGCGTCATTCTGTCGTCACAGGTTGGTTGGGTAGGTTTGTCGCTAAGTTAGATGGGTGGGTTAATGCTGATATTCTCTCTCCAGATTCTTCGCCTTCCACCATGTAATTTTGTGGGGTTTTATAGCTTTTTTGTCCGAATGAGTTTGGCGAAAGACCTGTTCTGTCGCTGCCGCGTGTCGGGAAGGGTGATGGCGTCTTCTGCCGTGCGCCCATTATTGCCATGCCCTTTGAATGGGGCTATTGTGTTGGGTTTTGCTGCCACATTTGACCCCCAAAATGTTAGTATTCTGAGACGTGTGTGTGCCCAAACGTAATCCTGACTTTATTTTCTGCAATCATTTGACAAAAACTACCTCAATATGACTGGATATCACCTCAGTGAATGACATGTACTGCCCACTAAATGAATGCAAAGAAAACAGACATTATGTTTATGCTGTAGTGGGGCTTTGGCCCCTAGAGTAAATGGAAGTAAAATTAAGATAAGTTTTGCATGGCTCTGCTCATTGGTTCCAAAACAGGAATGGAGAACATGGGATATTGTGTTGATAATAACTATTGCCCCTACCAGCTATGTTGGGAGCATGGAGTTAAGCACAGCAGATTATCTAAACTTATGTCAGTTGATGGGAATATGATCATAAGATGATTTATTTAGACTTGACCATACCATCAGTAGAGAAGATAATAACGTATCAGCATGCACTTAACAAAAGGTGGCATTCATCTTTTAGTGGCCAACAAAGTGGTCAAACATGTATGATATGGCTTCAAACACATGAGTGAATCTGGTCATCCTGCTTTGTATTTTTAATGTATAATTTACTGTAACAACTCTTTAGTATAGCACCTTGCTGTGATGACTGGTGCCCCTGCAGACAGTAGCACTCAACTGATTGGTTTTCATAATGTGACCACTTTATCTCCAGCTCATTCATGGTTTTTTATCACATTGGCTTGCAATGTTCTTGTCAGGAATATGTGATTCATGCAGTTGGTGTTCATAAATGATCCAACCTGATTCACTTATGCACTTAAAACTTTGTTGGTGTACGGTGCACTATGACTTAAGCACAGGAACTTTTTATCTACCTATATGATAAGCTGCAGGAAATGAAGAGAAGGTTGTCATCAACACTTGGTCCTAATATCATGCATGGTCTGCTGTTTGTATGCAATATGATGCACTGTCTGATACCCAGCATGGTATCTCCAGACGAGAAGCACATGTCTGCTGCGTGATTGGTTGCCCTCCGCCAGTCAGTTGTCCTGGGGTTTTGAAAATGGCATCAGCTTCTGAGGTGTTGTGGTCAGTCAGTGGTGTCTCGCAGCTGGATGGATCTCTTGAACCACCTCATCTCTGCAGGGACTCCAGTCTGTGCTGAAATCATGGCAGCCAAGGCCGTCTGCGTACTGCGTGGAGATGTGGTCAGTGGAGTGGTGTACTTTGACCAACCGGTAGGTGCTGGCTGACTGGTGGATGGCTATGTGCACCAACCAACCAGTGGACTGTTATTGGTGGGTGGTCAGAGCAGTGCACTGGCATAGAATCCAAGGCAACAAAATGGCGAAAATAAGTGATGAGGTTTTACCTTACGATGGCAGCAGCTGCAGCAGAGCGCCATTGGGGCTTTCGGATGCCCCCATCCGCTTAGATCAGGTGGCATCGCCTCTGCTTAGATCAGATGGCATCGCCTCCCACCTGGTTCCGAATCGCCGACCGTCATGTGCTGTACCGGACCACCCAGCCGCGGTCGTACTGGCTGAACTTGACCACTGACCAGAGGGTGCATCTCCGCAGGGCTCTGATCAGCCAGTGAAGGTCACTGGTGAGATCAAGGGCCTCACCGCCGGGCAGCACGGCTTCCATGTGCACGAATTCGGAGACAACACCAACGGTACGTTCTGAGCCCAGCTCCCGCGGCGCCGAGCATGGCCGTCCACGTGGCTTCCGACCTGAGAACGCGGTGTTCAGAACTGTGCCTGTGCCGACTGTGGCTTGCCGACGTCCCAGTGGGGCTGGCTCACCGATGATCTCGACATGCGTCGGAAATGCGTCCGTCTTCGTCAAGCTGTCCAACGGTGTCTCATTCATATCACACCGATAGTCGCCCGGGCGCATCAAGTGAGGCGTGACAGCGTCCGCTTTTCCTCGTGGCGCCGGCTAGATGGGTAACCAAAAGATAGGTTCCAAATAAAGCCTATGTAGGCGAAATAAGGACATTTTGGTCAGAACGATGGTGACAGCGGAATGCAAGCAATTTCAAAGACGTGACGAACCCGGTACAAGGACAGTGCATCGCATTGTGGCGAGAGACGTGATAATCATATTTGACAGCGCGGTGAAAAATGAGGTTTTCACTGCTGTGGGAGGAAGTATGTTGCGTTTACGAACTTCGCCAGCTAAGTTGTTTTGAAACTTCGTGGACTGCCAAGTGCCACAAGCTGCCGTTGCTCCTTAGTGAACGGAATTGGCACAAAGCTGAATGAATCACGTCCAAGGGGTATTCTATCTGATTTATCACATCTGTAAGCTGTGCCATTTTTACTGCTGCCAATAATTCAAGGGGCGTTTGCGCATTGGCCCATCACCGAGGTTTTGGAGATTATCTGAGGACCAAGGTTTTCATTGTCTGAGGAACTCATGTAGCGGGTGTTTAAACGGTCTATCGCATTAAAACGTGTGCAGAGGGCGAGCAGATACCGAAGCGCTTTTTTCTTGACGGTCGCTCAAAGAGAGGATGGGTCAGCCGGGGACGCCGGATCGGCACCCGTCAGGTGTCGCTGTTGGAAGTGCAGCTGTGTTGAGGCCTCAGACGGCTATTGGGCCTGTACTGGTGGAGCTGCTGGTGGGCGCCATATCTGCGGTACATATATGACTTAGAACTGATATAGGACGGAAGATAGGTTAATTTTGTGGGACACGAGATTCGAAGATTTGTGGTTATGTGAAGGGTTCCCAAATGTCAGCAACATTGTCATTAGATTGAAGCAGTCAATCTCCGCAGTGCTTTTTCATGTTTTCGTGCTTACACTGAAACAGCAGAGGTGATGGCACAGGCCAAAATGCACCAGCACACAAACATCAAACATGCACACGAAGACAAATGGGGATGAAATATCATGATCGCCTGAACACGTCATTCAGCGGTCGACAGGTGGAGGTAACCGTGTCCGACCGCGTCGAAACTCATCACGACGATGTGATGTAAATATGGGCCAAACCAGAGGCCCATGACTCTTCAGAATGATGGCTCGCAGCTCTGTGTCAAGGACGCGGGATTGGACGGAAAACGCAGTCGCCAACTTGTAGCATGCTGGACGGATCAGATGTCTGTCCGGACGTCTCCCTGACCGCAGAGCGTCCTACGGCTGCCAGAGCGGTCAGTTGGTCAGGACGCGGCTGCCAGAGCGGACAGTTGGTCAGGACGCGGCTGTCAGAGCGGTCAGTTGGTCAGGGCACGGCTGCCAGAGCGGTCGGTGGGTCAGGAAGCGGCTGCCAGAGCGGTCAGTTGGTCAGGACGCGGCTGCCATAGCGGTCAGTTGGTCAGGACGCGGCTGCCAGAGCGGTCGGTTGGTCAGGACGCGACTACCAGAGTGGTCAGTTGGTCAGGACGCGGCTGCCAGAGCGGTCAGTTGGTCAGGACGCGTATATTGCGCGCCTTCCTAAGCGGCGTATAGTGGGCGGGGGTAGGGGGTGCACTGGGATACGCACTGCTCATCCCGCATCTTTTTGTGACATTGATAAGCACGCAGGTAAATGTTGACAGCTTAACAATTTTGGTGAACGCGTAAAAATAACTAGATTGTAAACGTGTATTGGAAACATGCGACGGTCTTTTGCGCCACGTAATAAATGCCGCACGCCTGCAGCGCGCTGCGAGTATTTTTCGGTGAAAAGTTTGGGACCCCCTCCCCCTGGCCTTTTTCGACATCGTGCATGCACCCCGGTTGAATGAAATGTCTACGTTACTCGAGATGTTCTCCGAGATCGATGTCTGATGCCCTCCTTCGTGGACACGTCTCGCTATGTCACGGCTGTTCAATTGAAGGTCGTGTGGCGGACGACAGGCGGCCGGTCGGCCTCTGTCTGGGCCGTGATGGTGCTGGCCCTGGCGCGCCAAGGTCGCGGCCCGGCCGGACGCCTGGCTCGGCAGCGGCCGGGCCTCAGCGCCGCCGCAGTGCCCGTCCGCTCCCGGAGCCGCTGGGAGTAGCTGAGGCAGAGAGGAACACAACGAAACGTGGCCGAAATAAGGTTGCTATATGTGCATATATATACTTATATGTATATATGTATATATGTATATATATATATATATATATATATATATATATATATATATGGGCAGGATTTAAGGCATTAGTAATAGCCTTATTCCCCGGGGGGAAAAAACAGGAGAATGGAGATATAGATGAGTTGATATTTCGGCAACATGCCTATATCGAAACGAATGGGAAAAGTAAATTCTAAATTGTCTGTGAATCATCGTACTTGGATTTTTTTCACAGTGGACCACAATTTTTACAGGACGCCAACATTCAGGGAATTAAACAATGAACAAATGCCAGCCATTACTACGATTCAGTGCATATCTAACCAAGAATCAGAATACGCGAAAAATACGTGTACATGCAAACGAATTCAAGTGAACGGGCATCACGCATCACACTTCATTCAAATATGCAGGCGAGTTAAAGTAAACAGGTTCCACGCATCACACATCAATAAGACATACAAACGATTCCAATTAAGCAAGCAGCGTGCATCGCGCGTCAGGTACCAATTACACATGTAAACGATTTTAAGCTAGCACAGATCACGCATCCAGGGTTATAACACGTTTGCATAATCGGCAATGACTTCAAATATACCCAGTACCCTGTACGTCAAAGCTTGGTTGCCGACTTTTTATAGAGTGGTCCCGTGCTCCAAATAACTTTGAGCTTTAAAACGGGCATAGGGTCTATGCCTCCCTGGATTTTAGCCTGACGAATTGGATGGACTCCCCGACATAGACCATGTCCCTCCCTCGTTTTTCACACAGTTTACACTTAATTTTTCGTAAACCACGCTTTTTCGCGTGCAAACCCCTTATAACCCAGGCTTCCATAAATTACATATATTACCACCCAGGTGCTTAGGCTTCTAGATAGCAGATTTGACCAGACTTCTTATCTGTTTGCAGGATTTGGCAAATGAAAGCCGATGTGGCTCGAATCAAGCCAACCAATGTGTGGTTAGGTAGTTGTGCATTATGCATGCGTTTGGTACAGCACAGATTGTGTTACGTCATATGTTCATAACATGACGACACATAGGTAGTGTCAAAAACAAAATCTGCTTGCGAATGCGAGGATTCGTGATATGCGTGAAGGAAACGGCTCTGGTCACTGCTGCAGGTCCCGCGACACTAAAGACAACGGCTGCGTCGGAACGGCCACCTCGCAACATTTTGTGGATGGCGCTGTACGGTCCGTCGTGGACTCAAGTTTAGCATTTATTTCTAGTTTGTTTTATGTCTTTTGTGTTCCTGCCGTTTTTGTTGTCGTTTTTTTTTTTTTTGCTGCTGACACTTTCGGATAGCAGCAGTAAGTGCAAGCGTGTATTATGTAATAGATGCATCGGATATATTGTTGGTGGTATGACGTCATAGCAGCGCCCGCCCCACGCACCGGCATGGTCCCAGGGTTGTAGCGCAGCCTTCATAAGTTGGTATTGTACGCGACGGGCCGAACCTTCTACTGGTCAGTGCCGACTTCACAGTCCTGCGGCACTGGTTGGGGCCGACAATATATGTCCAGGGAATAAAGTTGCCACACGCCGAAACCAAATGTTCCGATATCATGGACCAGTTAACGAGTTGCTTCAGAAGTGCCCACGCGTTACTGTATGTTGTATCTCACATCACGTCGGCCGGCTGATTGGGTAAGTAAGCCTTTATTATACAACAGCGTTCTTGGGTTCGATTTTTGTGCTCCCGGTGTCAGTTTTGTGCTCCCGGTGTCAGTTTTGTGCTCCCTGTGTCAGTTTTGTTCGCCCGCCGCCGTGTGTGTTGTGCAGAGTGGACCAGCACGCTCTGGCACACCCGTCCCCTACCCCCCACCTGTCCCGAAGGGCCGGGGCCTGCGAGCCGCTCGCCCACCTACCACCGGCCCGCCCCTGCCGCCAGGCTGCACCAGCGCCGGGCCGCACTACAACCCGTACGGCAAGACCCACGGCGGCCCGGCTGACGAGGTGCGTCACGTCGGTGACCTGGGCAACGTGACGGCCGGCGCCGACGGCGTCGCCAAGGTGGACATGAGCGACAAGCTCATCTCTCTGTCTGGCCCGCTGAGCATCATCGGACGCACGCTGGTGGTGAGTGGCGACACAAGCGGCGCGCCGGCGGCGAGCTGCTGAGGCGGCGGCCAGCTGCCAACGGATTTTTTTGACAACCGATGTAGTGCTGCCGTGTTAGAAATAGGTATGCATCTCAAGTTATTTGGTGCTGTTCGTTTTCAAAGTAACTTGGTTATGTAACAGAAACCAGTTGTTGATAGAGCACACTAGAAACCACTTCTTTTTTAAACATGAGATAGAGGCGCTCATCGCGTACACTGATAGACGTTCGCTGTGCTGTGGGACTTATACTTTGAGATGGTAGCGCGAGCACCGATTCTCCCAGCATTCGCATTTATACCAGTTTTGTTTCTCCGTTTTATGACTTCCGCTTCTGTCATCATATGCTGAGTGTATCAGGTCAATCTGACACACACTTAAGGTGTCTTCATGTATGACTGTGATGCGCATTACTTTCCCGTGATCACTTTCTTTCATTCCATTCGGGAGAGAAATGCGGCAGCGCGAGTAGTGACTTTTGGTATATGGTTGGTGGCATTTACTTAATATTTAAAAACCAAAAATGAAAATTTTTGAACTGCTTGATTTTGTGACACTTTTTGGACGGGCAGCTGGTTCATCTTGGTCTTTGGACTGGACATTAGACAGCAATGTCCAGAAAACAGCCCCTCTGGCCCTGGTGTGGCACTCGCAGCTGATGAGGGTGTTTGTGAGGCCCGGTGCTCGTCGGCCGTGGCGGCGCTGCCCGCTGCCCTTCCATCCCACACCACGAGTGAGACGCGCCGCTGTGCTGATCGGTCACAGCGTCAGTGTCCCGCGCGAGCCACCCGCACGTGACGTGGCGGTAAGCTCAGCGCGCTGATACGCTATCGAGCGCGCCAGAGCTGCGCCCACGGCGCGATTCGGCCCGAGTCACCTGCCCGCGAGCGGATCGGCCGGGGCTGACGCGGCCCCTGCCGCTGGAGTCTGCATGCCAATCGCCCGCAAGTGTGCCGAACGGCGGGCGCCGCCACCTGCCGGCCGGAAATGGTGCAATACTCCGCAGACGGACGAACAAACATGCTTCCGTGAGCACGGCGGCGGCCGCGCGACCTTCACGACCGACCAGCTCAGGTGGCATGACGGGGCAGGGATGCGACTGAGGACGGAGGCGTCATCGTCTGACCCGAGGCGACCCATGCCACATAGGTACACCTGACCCGAGGTGGCTCATGCCACAGGGGATCAGCTGACCCGAGGCGACCCATGCCGCATAGCTACACCTGACCCGAGGCGGCTCATGCCACAGAGGATCAGCTGACCCGAGGCGACTCATGCCGCATAGCTACACCTGCCCGAGGCGACCCATGCCACATAGCTACACCTGACCCGAGGGGACCCATGCCACAGAGGATCAGCTGACCCGAGGCGACCCATGCCACATAGCTACACCTGACCCGAGGCGGCTCATGCCACAGAGGATCAGCTGACCCGAGGCGACCCAGGCCGCATAGCCACACCTGACCCGAGGCGACCCATGCCACATAGCTGCACCTGACCCGAGGCGACCCATGCCACAGAGGATCAGCTGACCCGAGGCGACCCATGCCGCATAGCCACACCTGACCCGAGGCGACCCATGCCACAGAGCCACGCCTGACCCGAGGGTACCCCTGCCATACAGCCACACCTGACCCGAGGCGACCCATGTCATATAGCTACACCTGACCCGAGGCGACCCATGCCACAGAGGATCAGCTGACCCGAGGCAACCCATGCCACAGAGGATCAGCTGACGCGAGGCGATCCATGCCGCATAGCCACACCTGACCCGAGGGGACCCCTGCCACAGAGGATCAGCTGACCCGAGGCGACCCATGCCACAGACCCACGCCTGACCTGAGGGGACCCCTGCCATACAGCCACACCTGACCCGAGGCGGCTCATGTCACAGAGCCACACCTGACCCGAGGCGACCTCTTCCGCAGTGCCACGCCGACCTGGATGACCTCGGTAAGGGTGGCCACGAGCTAAGCAGCACCACGGGCAACGCCGGCGCCCGCGTCGCCTGCGGCGTCATCGGCATCGCTAAGCTGTGATGGTGACTTCGTGACGTCAGCACGGCCTCGGCCAATCACCGGCGTCCGGTTCCGTTGGTGAAAAGGCACTCCATTTGTAACCGTAGCCCTGTGATGCAGCGCGCGTAAGACCCGCACGCTTTTGTTGTACGTTTTCGGTTCTTTTTTTGAGATTGTGTAACCGGGATGCCGATCATTTAGTCATTTGAGATGGCAGGGGCTTCGTCTAGAAAGCGCAAGTCTTGTAACCAGTCGTTTCTAAGCGCAATATACGTACGCCAGCGCAGCACTGTTGCAGTGACAACGCTGCTTCCCATTCGTTGACCGTTGTGATCACGCAGGTGGAGTCAAACGCCAGAATGGCGCAAGACTACTGAGACCTTCGAACCTCCCCTACATGTGTACACTTCCCGGGTTGGGCGCGTCGTTCCCAGCCTGCGGGGGTTGTTTGTCGTGGATGGGCCCGGCCTGGCGGGAGCGGCAGTGGAGCTGGCGCTGGTCCCGCTCCTCTGCCGGCCCACGTGGTCGGGGCCGGGGGCAGCCGTCCCGCCGGGCCTCCGTGCGCTCAAGGGCGATAACGCAGCGGCCGTTGCCGACCTTCGACCAATTGATCGCATTGGGCTCGGAGCCGCGAACGAGAGGCGCGGGGCCGTGGCAGCCGCGGCGTGTGTGGAGGCCGGCGCGCGGTCCGCAGCCGACGCACGCGCCTGAGCACGCAGGTGGGCGGCGGGATGCGTCCACGGCTCACGTGCGACGATAGCACCAGCCGCCCGGCTGCTACGTAGTGGACATCGTTAAATAGACGCTGCCCCCGCCCGCACGGCGACTGGACAGATCTATGGGTTACACCTACGGGATGGAGTTGGAAAAGCATGCATTCTACATACCTGATGAACACTGGGCCTATACTTGGTCTGTTATATGCACATACACGTATATATATATATATATATATATATATATATATATATATATATATATTAAAGATGGTTCGCACAAAATTACTCATATCTTCATCACTCCTTCTATTCTAACGTTTCGAGATCACAAGAAGATCTTGATTGCGCAAGAAATAAATTTTGAGCTTTAAAGGATGAAAAATTGTGCGCTACTGTTGGAAAACATCTTTTGGAACGGAGCACATAAATGAAGCATAACTAATTGAAGTAAGACGGAATCCTACTTTCATTTTCACACATGTAAGAAACACTCCTCATGGGAACACCACAAAGACACCATGGGAACACTATTGCCACAATCACATCAGAAGTGTTCACCGCCCACCACCTAGTAGTTCAGGAGTTCTGCAAGAATTTGTCTGTCTGTTTAAGGCCGGAGAGAGTTCGTTAATGAAAATGTTTTCCCAAACTTGAAGGTGTCTTCTGTCACTGCACGTCTGTAAAATGTCAGTGCTGTCTGTCATTTGTTGCCGTGTCAATGTCATGTCGTTTTCCCGTCGCATGTGGTCCAGAGGTGCCCCGTCACGTAAGTGCATTGTCAGGCGTCGTGAGAGTGTCGTGGTCACACCAATGTAGTGTATGGAACGAAGTTTGCAGCCTTCGATGTTACATTGGAATTGATACACTACATTGGTGCATTTTAGTTTGTCGGGTTTGTCTGGGCTGTTTCTCACAAGAAAGTTCGATATTTCCTTATTACAATAGTAAATGACGATGTCTATTTTGTGGTCGTTTTTGCCTTTAACATGTCGAGAGATAATTTCCCGTAAAGCTTGTTTGTGGGCAGATGTCATTTGACTTTAATAATACAGTTTGACGGTTGGTTGGATGTCTTGCCTTGGTTTGCCGTCAAAGTGTCTTGTCATATGTCGTTGTGTGTCGTTTTCAACGTCAGAATTTGAAAAACCGTTGTTCACCAAGTTCTGTCTGATTCTTATCAATTCTGAATGTAGTCCTGTCCAATCAGAGCAGTGCTTAAATGCTCGTCTAATGAAGGACCTTATTACGCTTATTTTGTAGCGTCGAGGACACTCACTGTCAGCATTTGCTGAATGATGATGTCGTCTTTTTCTCGAAGTTCCTTTGCCGCCGTCCGGAGTTCTTGTGTGAATATCTTGCTCCTATCATTTTCACGCTTTTTCGTGCTCTCTCCCAGTAAGCTGCTCTTTAGATCCTTGTCCACGGCAACCTTGTCCTCTTTTTCAAATTAAGGGCATCGTGGTAAAGAACGTCTAGTTCTACGTTCTTCTTAAGTTTGTCATATTTCGTCAACACATGGCAATTAAGTCCAGGATTAAGCACCTTTGTTTGTTCCTCAGTAAGATCATGTTGAGATAAATTGATGTAGCCGTCGGCAGTTTCCGGTAATACTATATGTGGAAATGATAGGAGCAAGATATTCGCACAATGTCATATTTCGGCAACACATGGCAATTAAGTCCAGGATTAAGCACCTTTTTTGTTCCTCAGTAGGATCATGTTGAGATAAATTGATGTAGCCGTCGGCAGTTTCCGGTAATACTGTATGTGGAAATGATAGGAGCAAGATATTCGCACAAGAACTCCGGACAGCGGCAAAAGAACTTCGAGAAAAAGACATCATCATTCGGCGAACGGACAAATCATCACTCTACGTAATATTTGACAAAAAGGAATATCATGAGAAATTAAACTGCATCTTGGACAACGACAAGAAATTCCGGCGCATCAAACTAATCACTGCTGCCAACGCCGCTGTTGATGGCATACACTTTTCCAAGATAACGGATGAATTTGCGCTTGGTTATGCTCATGGGCCTGTGAAAACTCACAAAAACGGCAACCCCCTTCGTCCAATAATTTCACAGATCCCTTCACCAACCTATAGAATTGCAAAACGTCTTAATGGTCTTCTGTCCCCATATCTTCCCATGTCATACAGCTTATCATCAACGGATGAGTTTATTGATATAGTGCGATCTCGTCAACCAAGGGCCTACTAGCCTCTCGAGATGTTGAAAACCTATTTACAAACGTGCCCATTGAAAGAACCATGGCCATCATCCTTGACCGCGTCTACAATCATCCTGAAATTCCTCCGCTCAAAATATAAAGGCGCCTTCATGAACAATTACTTAAAAAGCCTGTACGTTGGAAGTTCCTTTCCGCGGGCCTGATGACCGAATGTATTGCCAAATTGAGGGTGTTGCGACGGGCTCATCTCTAGGACCCCTAGTCGTTAATTTCTTTATGGGACACGTAGAAGCCGACATACTACAAAATGACGACATAAGACCGGACATTTACTGCCGCTATGTGGACGATATCTTTGTGAAAGTTAGGGACGTTGGCCAATTAGGACATCTCAAAAACGCCTGAAGAACGGTCTGGCTTAAAATTCACAACAGAGCTAAGTGTGCAAAACATAGTACCCTTTCATGACGTGGCTGTCGATGGACAAGGACAACGATTCAAAACGACTGTATACCGAAAACAGACTAACAATGGACGGTGCTCAAATGCTGACAGTGAGTGTCCTCGACGCTACAAAATAAGCGTAATAAGGTCCTTCATTAGACGAGCATTTAAGCACTGCTCTGATTGGACAGGACTACATTCAGAATTGATAAGAATCAGACAGAACTTGGTGAACAACGGTTTTTCAAATTCTGACGTTGAAAACGAGACACGACATATGACAAGACACTTTGACGGCAAACCAAGGCAGTACATCCAACCAACCGTCAAACTGTATTATGAGAGTCAAATGACATCTGCCCACAAATAAGACGAAAAAGCTTTACGAGAAATTATCTCTCGACATGTTAAAGGCAAAAAGACCACAAAATAGACATCGTCATTTACTATTGTAATAAGAAAATATCGAACTTTCTTATGAGAAACAGCCCAGACAAACCCGACAAACTAAAATACAGCAATGTAGTGTATCAATTCCAATGTAACATCGAAGGCTGCAAACTTCGTTCCATACACTACATTGGTGTGACCACGACACTCTCACGACGCCTGACAATGCACTTACGTGACGGGGCACCTCTGGATCGCATGCGACGGGAAAACGACATGACATTGACACGACAACAACTGACAGACAGCACTGACATTTTACAGACGTGCAGTGACAGAAGACACCTTCAAGTTTGGGAAAGCATATTCATTAACGAACTCTCTCCGGCCTTAAACAGACAGACAAATTCTTGCAGAACTCCTGAACTACTAGGTGGTCGGCGGTGAACGCTTCTGATGTGATTGTGGCAATAGTGTTCCCATTGTGTCTTTGTGGTGTTCCCATGAGGAGTGTTTCTTACATGTATGAAAATGAAAGTAGGATTCCGTCTTACTACAATTAGTTATGCTTCATTTATGTTCTCCGTTCCAAAAGACGTTTTCCAACAGTAGTGCACAATTTTCCATCCTTTAAAACTCAACTTATTTCTTGTGCAATTTAGTCCTCTCCGACGATGAGATAGGATCTCGAAACGTTGGAATGGAAGGAGTGATGAATATATGAGTAAATATATATATATATATATATATATATATATATATATATATATATGTATATATATATATGCGTGTATATATATATATACGCATGTGTATGTGGGTCGCAGATTGGGCATAAAATATGCAGATACGTATAGATACCTGATGCAATCCCAAACATGTCTCATGTGGTGCTTTAGTCGCCACATATTGTGGCCTGCCTATGCCTGCAGATGTTTGCGTTGTTGAGACAGGCCAGCTGAATTAGCCCTTGATCTGTTTCTCAGCCCGTCCGCGTGCGCTCGTGTTTCGCACACGATGGAGGCTCCGCTTCACATTTGATGGGGTTTTTAACGTGCCGCAACCGGCCTTCCGAAGGAAAAACACCGGCCGGTCGTTGGGCTAAGGGACAAACATGTTTTTGTCGGCATCGACCTTCGCTGTTTACGCACCTGAACGCCAGTGTTACCTGCATTCACATCACAGTGAGCCGCCCGCACGCTGTGGGAGTGCAGACACGTGGCGTCAGCAAAGCGCGCCTCCAGGCGATGAAGAGCGCCAACGAAATAGCAGCATCCTCAGACGGCTCGCAGGTTTCAGTGCTGGACTCAGGAGTCAGTAACCCTGGAGTTGACCCGCCGAGCTGCCAGTGGGCTTTTCACACGGGCGCCGAGCGCGCCAGCGGTCGTGTCTGGGCTGATGGCCGACCTGCCATAGACAGCTGGGGCGGAATGTCTGGAGTGATGGCGGGAGGCGACTGGTGAATGGCTGATAACTGATGACTGATGATGATGATGGCTGATGATGACTGATGACGGGTCGGGAGTGGTCGAGAAGATAGAAGAAGAGCTGTGCCTCTGTGTCGGGATGTGATCAGGATGCCGTGCGCTGGCTTTGCCCTAAGCTTGGTTTCGACGCAATCTGCGCAGGACGGTGACGTCACTGGTGCCGGGACTTCAATGCGGCGCGTCCGCTGGTCGTCAGCGTAACGCTGCGGGACGGCTGAAACATCGGATATCTTCGTGCAGATGGGGAACAAACTGTTAGCGAAAGGTCCAAATGGCCAGCGAGTCGATAACATAGAATTTCATGGCGAGCATGGTGGGTGGGCTTCGCAAACCTGTGCCGCCAACCACTAAAATGCAGTGGCATGATGAACGCATACACACGGAAATTACATGGGAAGGGACGGCTGGAACAATGGACTATATTCATATCGATCACGAACAAATTATGCGCGGCAAGTGCGAGCCAACCGCGCAGAATTCAATGTCGAATATGATGACGTGATTTGTAAGCTTATGCAGTCAACATTTACACTGAAATAAGCGTGGAAATTGAAAACGCTCACGCGAGAATTGGTACAGAGGGGGTCAGCTGGAATATCATACTGTCTTTGTAATGATTATAAGCAAACTGGGGTAAGTACATATGACCAAGAGGCCGGATGCGAATACTTAAATGGGGAGTAGGATGGAGTGCTGCTCGCAAGTTTATACGCCTAGCGGTTAAAATGTAACCGTAAAAGCGAAAACGTGCACGCGCGGACTGTTGAAGAAAGTTAGGCTGATCTTTGGGCTACCTTCTTAGTTCTTATCCATAACAAATGGATTGTTTCTATCCGCGAACCGATCAGGTGGAAGTAAATGGGAAACATGCATGCATGCGCTTTGCGAGGTTATATTCAGGAAAGCCTCTAAAATTCAACCAGCGTGGGAAGTGAAAGCGCTTAAATGGAGACGCGGATGCCAGGGAGGGAGCATGTGGCCCCAGTGTTCTTATCATTTAGCATTGACGGCGACTGAAAAGAAGTAACCATGATAGCTGCACCCCCGTCCCGCTCCAACTTAGGGAAGCTTGCGTTATATATGCGTCTTTGTGGGAACCGACTAGCATTGTAAGCTGAGCGTTGGTCGTGCTTTTGTTTGAAGCACAGGGTCATGGGGGAGCTGCACTAAAAAAGAAGGGGTCATCTTTTGTTAAGAGGCACACATGTTGTCAAGGAAGGTTGAACAAGTGGCGACCGACGCCGCAGCAGCCGTGAACCAGGTTCACATGGGCGTGCAAGCTACCGATGAGACTTCGTGCACATGACAGTCCGTGTGTACGTATCGTCGCAGCTTTTGAATGGCCGTGGCCAAATAAAGGTTATGATTAGAGGTGGAGTAAATGTAGATTAGAACGCACTGCCACCCGTATGAAATGCACCGATATTCATTGGCTGTACATTTAACGTTGTGCCAGCTGGAAAGAAGATACCCTACCGAAACGCAAACTTGTCTTCCTTGCCTAGCTACCTAGGAGGAAAAACGTCTCCTTCGTAAACCGGCGCTTATCTGGTACAAAATTTACGATTCAGTTTATGTAGCAGTGTTTTCCACTACGTACATCATTTGCCGAAAATGCATCTGGCACACCTAGAGCAAACAATTGACTGCGGCAGACAACAGACTCGCCACGGTCGCCACCCATTTGCACCGCCGGCGGCCGCACGCCCAGCGGGTGCGAAGAGTAGGACGCATCAGGCCGAAGTGCATTGTAATAATGACTTGCCACTTACATCAACATGTTCGTCGTTCAAGGGAGCACTCCACATTTGTGTGGTGATTTTAACTGAGATAGCCATGTTGAAGATGACTCGGCGCGCTCCACAGCCATGCCCAGTTCACAGCCAGACTTAAAGCCAGGCTGGGCTCAAGCCAGGCTCTTGGCTCTTGTCTGTGAGCTTCACGCCCGCGAACTTGTGAAGACAAGTTGAAAGTCACAATTTGAAGGCCGAAGTTTTGAAGGACCATTTGAAGGCCATGCACTCATGGTGTTTACAAGCCTCGCGCAAATACCGCCACCTTGTTAATCATGTAGTGCTTAAGACCCAGAAGAACACGATCATCGAGTTATTCGTGTTTAACATACGTCAGTACAACTCGTGGCACCCGCGGTCCTCAGATGGTCTTCCACCATTTTGATGCGGTGAGAACAAGTTTCGATCACGAAGCCCGTTTTATGCTACATAACGCAGGCATTGGGGTACTGGTACGAATTACCACGGAAGCAAGGTTGGGAAGCGAATAACTTAAAGGAAATTCTCCACATTTAAAGGTTCTGGAGCAAGCACCAGATTATATACTTTTTACTGGAAAAGATTGCTTTAGACAGCACAATCTCTCTGCTTAATATATATGGTCTTCGATGCGTCTACGTATGATTGCGTTGCCGTACCTTGCATAACACTGATTAAGAGCCAATTGCCGGCCGTTATATCTGGAAATCGTGCCCACAAACGCCAGATGTGGACGACCCGACACCTATGTTTTTTAATTGTCGAGCCGTTTTAATTGTCGACTTGATCGCCACATGGCCAATGGAATGGCGAGCTTTGGGCTACGTTATCGCGGCGTTACGGATGCCTGGGTGACTTCGAAATAGTCTGCGCGATGAAGTATGGGTATCTTCGCGGGAGTGTAGCTCGGAAATTTGAGAGGTTTGGGTCTTAGGAAGTGGAGGGCTGTGAAATGCAGCGAATGGTTTTCAAGATGGTTGCTGCAGCTCGAACTCTCATACAAATGTAAAGCACTCCCTTTAACACGCGTTCGGGTGGAGGGTCAGTTTGACCCCCAAAGGCCGCGCCAAGTTTTACGCATGTAAGACTACTGAATGGCGGATCGTCTGACATCACACATTGATATGTATCTTGCATGGTCAGTGACCTACAGCAGGGCAAAATCAAGCCATGGATTCGGCGAATCTAGGGGATCGATTAATATGATGCAACTGCGGAGCAATAGACGAAAGCATACCTCTCTGTAATATTTTCCTAGCCAGTACAACAATTGAAATAACAAATTTCGTTGATACACGGCCCGATCTAGGCCAAAACCAAACTGTTTTATTACCCTAGAGCTCACTGCATGGGCACTTCCTGGTGCTTATTTTGATTTTATTGATGACAGAAACCACCTTTCATATATATATATATATATATATATATATATATATATATATATATATATATATATATATATATATATATATATACTGACGTAGTGACCATATATATATATATATATATATATATATATATATATATATATATCCTTCCTCCTTCCATAGCCCTCTTTGAGGTCAGAATAGCCCACCGAATTAAAATGACCCGGGTCAATATTTTGTTTTTACGAGCATGCTGCCCATCGTAATCCTTGACGTTTATTCAAATGTAAAAATAAAAGGACTTGTATGATTTTGGCCACGATCTTTGAAAGTCACACAAGGTCACCAACCCTAAATGAGCACCAGTGACCAGTTTCTTGGGACGGGTATCTAGCTTCATTGCGGCTGCATGGGAAGGTCTGGGATCATTTTGGCCACCAAGCTGGAATTTGACCTTGTTTAACCTTATTGGCCCCATAGGTCATTACCTAGAAGCCACAAGTTTAGATACAAGTGAGTTCACGTACAGGCAGATACACCGTGAGTTCGATGGACCTAGCTTTCTTATTTTCTTAAATCTCAGAGGGTTCGAATTGACCCCTCCCTCCCACCCGAGCGAAGGGCGTTTAGTCGGCCAACCGGGTGCGTGCTAAGAAAAGCGCCATAACCGATCATTAGAACACAATAAAATAATGCCAAACCACAGCCAAAACAATGCCAAACGCGCCACTCCTCGCCGCGTTGAAGTATTACAAGTGAGTCAGCCCCTCCCCTACAACGACGAACCTGACACCGCTGACAGCGACACTACCATCATTCAAACGCTTAGTGACATAATGAGGAGCTCAGTTACTAAATAGTAAAATTGTGTTGTCTTAGAGCAGTCTTTTGCACTATCAACAGTTGCAAAAGAGCTTATTTCGTCATATCTAGTGCTGGCCTCAATATCTTCCAGTGTGGAGCCTTCCCTTTACATTTCACGCAATCAGCTCGCATCTTAATAGCTTATCGCACAGGCTTGCCAAGCACTCATCAGATTCGCCGCAAAATCCCACTCAATCGGCTCGCTCGTAATATGCACCTTCCACTGGCACCTGTTCCGTTATATGTCGAATATTTGGATGTTTCGGTTGCCCTTCGGCCTTACGTCCGGCGTCCAGCGGCTCACCGCGCGTCGAGGTCCCTGCACCATTGACGTCACGCCAACGTTAAACGAAAGTGAGGCGAGAATCATTGGACGCTCAATGCCCTATCTGGCCTTGGGCGTGATGGGTCAGGGCTTAGCTTCTGCCTGAGTCGTTCTCCAGCATCCTTGCTGCTGGGGCGTTCGGTCGCTAATGACCTCACTAGTTAATCGATGCACATACCGAAAACGTCGGTATGACCATGCTCTAGAATAAACAGAACTCACCAACTCAGTCCGATTTAAACTCAACAATCTCACCCTTTTTCAACGAAAACGCCGAGGACCGTTAGGCACCGAGCGCTTTGGTACCCGATGTTGCATGTGCGAGGAGCGCGGCGCGCGAGGCGTACAGAGCAGCATTGAGGCGGGGACGAAGCACGCAACCGTAGTTCAGCGCCCGTCTGTGCGACGGGAAGCGAAAACTGCGTGCCAGTCGAACGGCACGAAGCTGTACGTGCAGCCACCAAGCAGTGCTGGGACGCGCTGCCACGGTTATAACTGACCCGGAGCGGCTGCAGCTCCTGTTACGGACGTGGGACAGGCGTCCCACTCGTCCGAGCATAGGGAAGGTGGGCTGTCCCGCCAGTCAGGTGAAATTCGCTGGCGAACGGAGGGCCGCGTCCCGCCGACAGATGGCTAGTTACCCACTGGGGTCACGCCCCTGGTCACACAAACACACACAAACGTGGTGTAAATCGGTTGTTCCAGTTACAAACTCGGGTATGAATCGCATCGTGTCATATGACGCCCATAGTATACATCAACAGCCGAGCTTACATTCCCCATGCCACAAGCACCCCGCGTAGCATGTTTTCAACTCACGAACATGCCTCCAAACATCCGAACGACAGGGGGAGGGTGAGCATCATAGCACTGCCAGGTTCACCTGACAATAAATATTCTCTCAGAAAAATTATAACCATGGCATACGGAACCTGTACAGCCCCCAAGGACATGGCATACGCATAACACGGGCCTACAAGTCGGCTACATGTACATCTTCAAGAGTCTGTCATACGGTCCAGGCTCCGCACATAACCGCGTCATGCTCCAGTGCGTCAACACAGACGCAGCGGAACGACCGCCCCTATACAAGGCGATCGTCTGGGTACACCGGCGTGCGTCCGTACGCAGAGGCGGCGCGCAGAGTACTATCGCGTTAGCAGAGTGGCCGCGCGTGCCCGAGCTGGCGCCGGTGGCGGCCGGGCCGCGCCGCTCACACGTCCACCACGCCTCCGTCCGGCTCCGCGCCGATCGGGGGCAGCGTCGAGAGGCGACCGCGCCGCGAGCGCAGCTCAAAGATCTTCTGGATACTCTTGCGGAAGCAGGTGAAGTTGTAGTCGATCAGCCCTGTGCGGAGGGGGGTGGGCACGTCAACACGCGACGACGCTGTACCCAACGACTGGTACGGCACCTCTCCGGGTTCAATGCTGCGGAACGAAACAACATACCACAGCAAGGCGTCCCACATTAGGGGTCAAATCATAGCTGGCGGTCTGTATAGCTTTGCACTGATTGTGGCTTAACCACATTCGTCTATTTCTCAGCCTCGATCTTACTCGGTTTCGGTCCGCCTCCTATTCGAAACCTTTATGCCGTAGTTTTGTTTCTGAACGTCCCTGGAATATGGCGCAGGCCCGGTCCGCAGCCAGACAGCCAGCGTCCGGTACCTTGCTTGCGGAAGTTGTCCTCTCGCACGATACAGACAAGCGCCAGGAAGCGGTTGACCTCTCGCAGATAGAGCACGGTCGAATTGTTGAGTCGGATGATGCTGGAGCTGCGCTGGTCAAAGCCACCGTCGTTGTCGCCCTTGAGCCTGCGGCACACGCGGCGTCGGGTTCAGCACCGCCGCCGTGGCCGTGCCCTTGGCGCAATAGACACAATATTATCTCAGTTAACTCAACTGGCAGGGCCAACACATCTTACCACCGTATCATGCGATTTCCGAGTCCCAGAAAAACAAGACTTACATGACCCGCTGCTGACTATCAGTTGAAGATTGTGCAGGAGGATCCGCCTGACATCCGGGCGATCAATGATACCCGAAAACAGGATCCCGGGATCCTGGACGCGGACCCGTCACACTCGGCAGCGCTGGATCCCATGGGATCAAGGCTCGTCATTTTATGACACAGCACAAAAATCCGTTGACCTTTTGGCCGAAACTGGCCCCGGACAGAGACTTCCCGCTCAGCTGGAATTTGTTTGTATGGAAGTGCCGTGGTTAGGACTTCCCAGCAGCTGTGCTTAGTGTGGACGAATGACAATGTCAACCCGAGAAACAGCGATTAGATCCACTTCAAAACGAACACAATCCAGTGCAGACCGGCCACGCAGATTGCAGCAACCACAATCAGTCCAGACCAGCACAGACCAGTGCTGGTGCAGACCACTACAGACCAGTGTGACCAGACGCCGGTTCGGACGGCCTCGCTGCCTGACGACAGTCCACACCTCCTGCATGCCGGAGGATCTTGGCAGCAGGGATGCCGTCACTGAGAGACCACGGGGCGGGCCTGGCTCCGCCGAGTGAGCCCGCGCCCCAACCCCAGCACGGGAGCTAGGAGTGCCTCAGCACAGCGGCGGCAATACGGACCACTCAGTGCAACGTCTGCGTAGCGATGTGCCAGTGTGATCCAAGACCGACTTCGGCACCTATGTTTCAGACGCTACGCAAGGTCACCTGTCTGACTCCATGCGTGCGGAAGTCGTGCTCAATGGAAGGCACGAGAAAGCATTCGTGTATCACTTCGCACACCAAGGCATTCCGCTCATATCGCCGTCATCAGATTCGAGCAAATGAAAGTGTCGGCCAAAGCACACAGCTATGGCATCAAAACCGCGTCGATTACACAGCGCGCCAGGCGAGGCGCTCGCTGGCTTAGGTAGCGCCACCGGAGGCCGACCCACCCACCATAGAAGGCAGGTGGCGCCACCGCGCCCGAGTGTTGTTCGGCCTCCACGTCCACCCACCCCACCGCAGTCACGCAGATCCCGTCCTGCCACGGTGTGGCTGGCCACGGTCCCACCCCGGCAACGGCGAGCATGACATGGAAGAGCCCTGGAGTCGTTCTCGAGGTCACGTGATGACCCTAGGTCACCGGGTGACCCGGAGAAGTCCAGCTGATCATTCACGCGTCAGCGCAGGAGACGACCGCTCACCGTCCGGCGTTCAGCTGACGGTCGACCCACAGCCAGGGTGCCATGGTGCGCCCTGAGGAACGCCACTTTACGCAGGAGACGACCGCTCACCGTCCGGCGCTCAGCTGACGGTCGACCCACAGCCAGGGTGCTATGGTGCGCCCTGAGGAACGCCACTTTACGCAGGAGACGACCACTCACCGCCCGGCGTTCAGCTGACGGTCGACCCACAGCCAGGGTGCTATGGCGCGCCCTGAGGAACGCCACTTTACGCAGGAGACGACCACTCACCGCCCGGCGTTCAGCTGACGGTCGACCCACAGCCAGGGTGCTATGGTGCGCCCTGAGGAACACCACTTTACGCAGGAGACGACCGCTCACCGTCCGGCGCTCAGCTGACGGTCGACCCACAGCCAGGGTGCCATGGTGCGCCCTGAGGAACACCACTTTACGAACACTGGGAGGTGAGTGCCCAACGACAAACAGATAATCGGGTGGTACACTCTGACACAACTTTGAAAATTGTAGCTGACCGAAGCCTTTCCTATGTTTTGGTTTGTTGGATGTACACGACGATTGTTTATACAACCGAGTAACAGTTACCTTTCCAGGTCTCGTGTGGCCCTCAACAATTGTGGTTGTTAGCTGAATCTGTCAGCTACCCGCTTCTTACTGAATGGAGTTAAGTCATCCATGTTTCCACTATCCTCGCGATTAAGTCAATGGTCTCAGGTACTTCCTGAGTTAGAGGAACGTGTTTCAGGAGTTGTCTCTCTGGAGGCTGACCGGTATTTGACCCACGCATAACATGAGCCTCACCTAAAGCAAAGAACACAAATACCATCTCTAGAAAGGACCCGGGGATCGCAAGGCGTTACCGTTACAAGACAACCGTTGGTAGTGAATTCATCAAAATTCCCATGCACATTGAAGGCGCAGTCGGAATGAAATTTTCATACAGATACGTGCCTGGACCCTGAGGGTGGGTGTAAGATCCGGTAAGATTCCATGTTGATGGGATCCGTGGATACTTGTGGGGACTCTAGGCCCACGATTGATGATGACTACGTCTGCATGTCATCACTATGATGATGATTTGGGCTTAGTGGCGCGCCGACGGCCGAGGTCGTTCTGCGTTCATGCGTCATGACTTTATGAATATCAAGATTAAAGTTTTTGAGTTGCATGAAGGCGAGTCCACAAATCTATGCAGTCTCAGTAAGAACGCTGGGACTGATGAGTACGAAACCATGTGAAAGGTACCAATAATAAAGAAAACTATACAAGCAAATTGCGCAGCAATACAAAATATCTGGCATTGTTCTGCTTTGGCTAAACGAGATTCGGTCAATTAACACACACCTGATTATTCGGCATCTGGGATCCGCCAGCCGTTTTAGTGACGACAGGTGAACCGGGAATGCGGCGATGACAGCTGACGAACACAGCTGGCTCTCCCGCCTGTCGATATAACGGTGCCGGCTGTGCCTCTGAGCTGACTGATGGCTCGGCTGTGATAGGCTCGTCATTCTTCGATCACTTTGATTTCTGATATAGCCTTTTCCATGTTTTTTTCGAACCTATAGGTCTGGTTTCCATCCGCTCAACCTGGTAACATTCATCACTTGGATAATCGACCTAGGTTTTTCGGTGTGTGGCTCAGGACTAGATCGTTGTCGCGAGAGCTGCCGTGCTCTTGGGCGGGGAACACTTGGCAGTTAGCACGCATCGCTGCCTGGCGGGAGCCCGGGTGGTCACCGTCAAATGTAAATATTCTTTATTGGCATCGTCTAACGCATTCGGTTCTTCGTAACCCCTCCCACGGCAGTAAGGGTTCCGGTATCTCATAGTTTGCTCAGACTCTGAATATTGGGTGTTCAGTACTGAGTATTGAGTGTTCAGAACTGAGCACTGAGGGCTCAGTATTGAATATGAGTGCCCAGTCCGAGCACTGAGTGTTAGGTACTGAGTATTGAGTGCTTGCTCAGACCCTGTCTTTAATTGGGTCACTTATTCTTGTCTTGTTATTCGGCAGTGAGTGCTGCTCATCGCACCGCAATTCCAGTTCCCTTACACGATTCTGTCTCTCTTTGCACGCATCATTTTCCACAACGCAGAACATTTCCAAAAGCTGCTTTGATCGCAGCCTTCTTGTGAGAAATGCCCTGGCTGGCTTGAGGAAGTATTGGAGCATATTGCGCGTGGTTAGCAATCTGCCGACACTGATCGCATGAAGGCGGCTGACCAATACCAATCTGCCGACACTGATCGAATGAAGGCGGCTGACCAATAACAATCTGCCGACACCGATCGAATGAAGGCGGCTGACCAACAACAATCTGCCGACAATGACCGAATGAAGGCGGCTGACCAATAACCATCTATCGACACTGATCGAATGAAGGCGGCTGACCAATACCAATCTGTCGACACTGATCGAATGAGGGCGGCTGACCAATACCAGATCTGCCGACACTGATCAAATGAAGGCGGCTGACCAATAACCATCTATCGACACTGACCGAATGAAGGCGGCTGACCAATACCAATCTGTCGACACTGATCGAGTGAAGGCGGCTGACCAACAACAATGAACTGATATGCCATGGAACATCTCCTTTGTTTTCAACGTAATCCTTTTACTAAGCGGCCGTTGTATTCTGTTAAACTCTACAACCTCGATACTAACATCCTTAACATACTCCTCGCCGGATTCTATTTCGAATACACACGCCGAACAAACATCCGACACACTGCCAACAGCCGAGGTTCGGAGGCAGTGTAGAGTCTGCACGCGTGTCTCGTAAGGACAGGAGATGTTTTCAGAGGGTCTGGTGCAGAGCTTTACAGAGCCGGACGGAGCACCGGATTTCTGTCTATTTTGGGAGTATTTGCATACGATACCTCACAGACAGGACTCAGAGCGATTCTCGGATCAGGGTCATGGAAAACATGAGGCCGAGGTTCTCAGAGGGCCAGACAGAGGGCCTCTTATGACAAGCCCGGGGCGTCGGAACGCCCGAAGCCAGATCTGCCAGAGTCGCCCAATCTCGGCTGCCGGCACAGAGGGCCTCTTCTGACAAGCCCGGGGCGTCGGAACGCCCGAGCCAGATCTGCCAGAGTCGCCCAATCTCGGCTGCCGGCGCGGCCTGCCGGAGCTGAGGCAGCACGACAGACGACACATGGACAAGCAGCGCATCAAGCCGCCGCCTCCCAGACACGACGGCGGGCGAACACAGCAGACGCAAACGAGGCAGAGGCCCACGGACGGGCGTGCGCACACAGACAGTGGCAGCGGAGCTGGCGGGGGAGTGCACCAGCGGCCCGGCGCGGACAGCCGGCACGTGTCTGCGCCGCCCGGTGCGCACACAGACGGTGGCAGCGGAGCTGGCGGGGGAGTGCATCAGCGGCCCGGCGCGGACAGCCGGCACGTGTCTGCGCCGCGCCCGGTGCGCACACAGACGGTGGCAGCGGAGCTGGCGGGGGAGTGCACCAGCTGCCCGGCGCGGACAGCCGGCACGTGTCTGCGCCGCGCCCAGTGCGCCACGGACCCTGGCCCAGGCGGACGCCGTCCGGCCCGTCACTCACCCGTATATGCAGGAGAGGTCGATGACGACGTCGATCATGTCGCAGCACAACTCGTAGGACTGCATATCCACCGGCGACGAATCGGTGGCGATGTAGATCTTGGAGATGACGTCGAACAGGAAGGCCTTCTCCGTGCCCGAGTTCTGCAGCGCAGTGCACAGTTGAAGTTGCATTGTCGACTTGAAGAAGACAGTTGCATGTTTTCAAACATCAAGCCCGGCATCGTTTGTGATCTTACGGCTACTTCTCGCGTTCTTTAGCGAGGAACTTCCACAAGCCATGCATTGTGGGGCGTGGCTTGGATTAATAAATGGCGGCAGCTGCAGCAGCTTCAGGAAGTGGTGATCACGACCATAATGGTATCGACTCTTGCAACAGCTATCAGCTATACCAGGTATACCAGTTAAAACATGTGCTGGACATGGACAGCTGGTAATCACGGCCAGCTTATCAAACTATAACACTAGAAAGCCTTGCATGGTTGTGATTCAAACCCCGTTACAAATGTCATATCGGGAGATCTCGAGAACGCATAGCGCAGCTGATGTGAGCCAGATTCTTTGGATACCTTGATCTAGTAGTATTCATTTGAATGTCAACGTATAAGTGTGCAATGCACTTATGCACATACAAATGACTCGCGATACATATTAACATAGACGTGGCTAGCGACACGCGAGGAAACCCGATTGGCACATACCGAAATGAAAATATCCATCAAGTTCTCCAGTGTAGGCAGCTCCGGTATCAACTTCTGGACCACCTTGCTGAAGGCCTCAAATATGCTGTGGTCATAAATGGACGTGAGGTATATGCTGAGGTGAATGTTGTCCATACCTGAAACACGGATACACAACAATCAGTGAATCCTTCCAGCACGTAAAGCAGAGAATAAATCTATGAGCTAAGACGTTTTGCAACTCGCATGATCCGAGTTCACGCTATTCGCAAGATATTGACAATCTATTCACACCACCAACGAATGGAAAACGCACGACATTCTTTCCCCTCGTCCGTCACCTTTTTAACCGAAGACGCATGCACCACTGGGCACAAAGCTTGGTCGCGACATCCTCGGATAACAGGTGTCGTTGCCACCATAGACCTATACACCACAGCGAGACGGGCGACTCGCGGTGACCCGACGTGTCGGGTCCCTGTCACTGAATACCTATACACCACAGCGAGACGGGCGACCCGCGGTGACCCGACGTGTCGGGTCCCTGTCACTGAACACCTATACACCACAGCGGGACGGGCGACCCGCGGTGACCCGACGTGTCGGGTCCCGTGAGACCGGGCTGACAGCGCGGCGTGGGCGGCATTGTCGGCCGTCTGACTTCCGTCGGGCTGGGGCCCGGATCGGAGCGAGCGCACGGGCGGCGCACAGTGCGGTGACCGCACGGGCAGCGCACAGTGACAGTGCGGTGACCTACTGGCATCCAGGAGGTCGTCGTGCGCGCGCTGATGGATGTCGCGCTGGATGTCGATCCGCTGGTCGTCCGACAGGCCGTCCACCTTGTGAATGAACACCTCGAACTTGATGTTGGGGTTCACCTTGTATGCCTGGATCACCGTCTGCTGAAGCTTGTTCAGTGCCTCCGCGTAACCGTCCTGGAAAACAATGGCGCCATGTCGGTGAACGCCACCGGCTGTCTTAGATGCGCTACTCTTCGAAGAAAGCATGACTTCACTTGGTGCGCGGTAATTTTGGTGGTGGCAGGGGTTCGTGATTTACTGTCTTTTAATCTGTAGCAGGACGTACACATATTTCAGGGCATGAGAATGCAGGGCGCCACGTGCAGCAGTCAAGGGCTAAAAGACACCTCCGAGAAACAAACGCGAGGGGAATTTTCGCTAATCCAGCAGACCAGCCTGAACACCAGCACGCGGATGGCATTGCAATGCCATTTGGGTCCTTCAAGACGAGCTATGCTTTTGCCGACAACAACCGCCGTGACGTCTTCAAACTAAGCGCACATATGAATACCACGAAGTCTTAGTTGTCTTACACGACAGTATTTTGACATACGCAAACTACCCATGTTACGAAGAGGTCGTTGGCATACATATAGTTTCCACAGCTGATTTTGACCATCACCATAAAAACATATATGAATTGAATTACAACGAGTTGATTATTATATACTCCACCAGTCGGTGCAAAAGTGTGAAAGCACGTGCTGTGTTCTGCTGATTGTGGGCAAAGTTACAAGCTGTGGAATAAAATTTTTAAACCTGAAACATGTAGCAATTAAGCGTGAGATGGGTAGTCTCATTCCGTTGCGCAGTGTTGCCGGGCTTAATGCCCAAATGCTACGAAGCGGGTGAATTAGGAGGCCGCAGCTGTCCGCAGACTGCCTTTTTTGAATTGGTTGACTGACAAGGATTCGTAGTTGTTCCGATAATTTGTTCCACGGTCGCGTTGAAACGTAAATAAAAAAATATATAGGATGAAGATGTACGACGGGCCCTGCTGCCCTATTTTCTGTCTTTTGAAGTCGGTAAGCGTTATGCATGACTACATGCCCGTGGTATATTGCGTCCTTACAGCCGAAAATACATCTGAAATACCCAATGTCTATCTGAATAAACACTGCAGTGTTGATGAGCTGTGGCGACAGGAACAGGCCAGCCAGCAAACGCTGGACGGGAAAACCTTGTAGTTTGTGTGTAAATGTTTCCTGCATTGTTTTTCTTGTATTAAATGTGGTGGTCAACTGATCGAAAAGATGGAATACCGAGTCAAAATATTTCAATAGAACCATGTGTGGCTGTGTTGCTACCAGTACGGTGTGGTATGTGAAGCGGTGTTGTCATCGGCGAATAGACTATCGTTGTTCCTGGCGGCAGCCAATCCATTCAAATAAAAAAGGCCAAAAGAGGTCCTAAAATTGGGCCCCGAGGGAGCCTAGCTTACAGTGCTGACTTCTTCGCCGTCTGTAACGGACATGTCTTGCATGAATGACATACAAAACAGATAACTCACCGGTTTGAAAATAAATAAGGAAAGTAAATTAAAACGAATTGCATCAGATGATCCAGACTGCATGATTTGGTACGATGCAGTGAGCTTCAAGGGGCACGGGCTTGCGGTTACCAGCGAAATGTTTAGCGTTGACACGGGCGTTGCATTATGAGTAGGTGGTATGCGCGATTCGTCGACGCTAGGGTGAGACTGGATGGCCGAGTACTTGTTGAGCATTGGCGCCTTGTCACAGAAAGATCGGAGTCGCTCCGCCCGCAGACCTGCTCTTTACCTATGCGACACAGAGAATCCAGCGTGCGTGAGAAGATATAACGCATCAGTGACCGGAGGTCCCGCGCAGACAGCAAACGGCACATCCCTGGATACCCACCTGACAAAACACAGGTCCATGTCTGCTGTTACCCGTTCACCATGTGAACAACACGAACGCCAAGTGCGCAGCGCCTGCAGCAGTTCTGCCCCACAGACTAGACTTTGGTGCCACCCTCGGGCGGTTTCTGAAGGCCCGGCACGGCCGGGCCCGCAGCGGAGCGGCGCGCCGCCCGCGAGGCCAGGTCTGGCCGAACCGCAGCGGCGCGTCGCCCGCGGGCCAGTCTGGCCGCAGCGGAGGGCGCGCGCACGTGAGGCCGGGCCCGCAGCGGAGCGACGCGCCGCCCGCGAGGCCGGGCCCGCAGCGGAGCGACGCGCCGCCCGCGAGGCCGGTCTGGCCCGAACCGCAGCGGCGCGCCGCCCGCGGGGCCAGTCCTGGCCCGCAGCGGAGCGGCGCGCCGCCCGCGAGGCCGGGCCCGCAGCGGGCGGCGCGCCGCCCGCGAGGCCGGGCCCGCAGCGGAGCGACGCGCCGCCCGCGAGGCCGGTCTGGCCCGCACCGCAGCGGCGCGCCACCGCGGCTGTGACCGTGACCTTATCGCCGTTTCGCCGGCGGAGGAGCACCGTCGTACCTGGGCGTCAATGACGAAGAGCAGCGCACCGCAGCCGCTGAAGATGAGCTCCGTGTCGTAGGTGCTGTCGAAGAAGTCGATCTGGCCCGGGAAGTCCCACACCTGGAACTGGACGAACGACGAGTGCGGAACGTCGTCCTTGACTATCTTGTTGGTCGACTCGAGGAAGAGCGTCTCGGCCGGCGACATCTTGTGGAATACTACTCGCTGGATGGACGACTTGCCACTCCTGGCGGCAGGTCAACCATTCAGGCCAACGCACGCTTATTGACGACGAGGAAGATCGCGCGGTTTTTTCTTCAAATTTTCTCCGCATTGTTCGCATCCGTGGAGTTGTATCGCAAAGGCTGCTTAGCAAAGGATCTTCCGTGTACCCAAGGCGGAACTTAACCAGGCGGAACTGCGGAGGGTTATACGTACCGCACAAGGCCGCGGCGCAACCGGCCCGGATCTGGGTTAACCCCTGCTGGACAAATGCCAGCGGGTATTTCCGTGTGAGTCGGCCAAGCAATACGCCCACCCTTGGACCCGTACCGCGTGACGCTGAATAACGAGTCGAACATCTTAAAGCCGGACCACGGAGGCGGCTGAAGGCGGTTGCTGACGAGTTAATCAAAAGATAACAAAGAAATGCAGCCGTGCCCCGCAGGCTGGGCAAACTGAGGATCAGACTCAGCACAGGAAGCGACACGCACCAACACCTCTGTGTCAGGGACCGTTTCGTCAAAAAAATATGTTCCCGATTGGCAGCTATGTATGCAGCCGGCAGCCCCGCCTCACCAGGCAACTGGCGTCACGGCTACCACGGCTGCAGACCATGATTCGGGACGGTGCGCCAGCCGCCATCCCAATCCGTGCAATCAGCTCTGACCAAAGGCCTCGAATGGAAGATTCCCTGCCTTCATCCCACCACAGAGAGAGCCTGCCCGCCGGTGAGTCGGCTTTGAGTTTCAACTGATGGGCGGGGAGATGCCGACCATTCGAAATATGGACTGGACGTGTCGTGTCTGGGTGGAGGAGGGGGGGGGGGGGGAGGGGGTGCTGGCCCAGGAGCCCATTCGCCCATGCACCTCACAAGAGCAGTAGAGGTGCGGAGCCAGGTCGGCACTTGTCGCTATGACCGCTGCAGGCAGGCATTGCGAGCAACACCTGCATTATACTCTGGGCTAATTACGGCCTGGGCCTGGCCCGCGGCCAGCGACCGTGACCTATGCTCATGAGAAATCCATGACCTATGACCTATGCCCATGAGAAACTCGCACACAACGGAAAACAAACAATGGAATGCCAGGCAAACAATATGTGATATTCAGTATGAAATAGTTCATTCGGCGAGGTGCTGAGTCGTATCTGCCTTGCTTGCCGCAGATGAACTCAGCTAGCAAGGTGGGCCTGTCTACCACCTCCCACCCCACAGGCACGGCCCCGAGCACACACATTCAACTGCCGTCTGAGGCAGCATAACGCCCCTCTCGACACGTCTCTTGCACTCGGCTTCAGTCTTCAGCTATTCTCTGTTCCGACATCCTTCAGATGACGACTCGGCCCTTCGTGGATCGGAAGGGGGCGAATGGATGAATCAATGCATGCCACAGTGATTCAAGCTTCTTTTAAAGTTGAGGTGCGCGGTTTAGATGGGCGTTCCAGGAAAATTTACCACTGCATTGAGACATTTGCTCAAATTCCACAAGCGGATCCCGAGATCAAGTCCCGCATCAAAAGGGGGAGTTCTTGGGCCGACGGCCCCTGGAGGTGGCAGGACTTCAAGTACTTCTTCGCAGTTTAAACACCCGCAGAGCTTCCAGAACATAACAACGGGGGCCGGGGGCATCTAAATCGGATCCGAAAAATTGAGAAGTTTCCACGCTTTGAATCCAGGATCCACTAATAACTTCGTGCCCACCTTCCCGGAATCTGGAACCCGTCTTCACATTTTGCCACCGGATGTTCTGAGATTCTGAAGCCTTTCGTATTTTTGTTGAAATATCTCTTGGGATCAGATATCGTGGGGGAGGGGGATTCAGCCAGATGTAAGTCTTTATTATCAGGCATGCCATCGAGCAGATCTGCAGATGATCAATGGCCTATCGTACGTTTCAAAGTGTCACATTAATACAGTTTTGCCCAGAGACCTTTGCGAACAGTGGGAGAACAAGGTAGGATGAGGGGTGCCTTGTTGGGGACCTTGTCCGTTCACCGTGGACGGACGTCTCGGACAAAATGGGATAACCAGAGTCCCACCCGCTGGATTATCTACCCACTTCTTGAATGCCATCAGCTGTATCGCCCAGTCACCTCTGAGTGGCATCACTTGATCGCCTACGCACCTCGCCAATGCACGCGGAATCTCTCACCTCCTGAGCCCCATCAGCAGGATTTTGGGCTTCATCTCCACAGCACCATTGATGTCGCCCTCCTCGTCCGGACCGTAGAAGTCCTTGGGGTACGAGCCGGTGTAGGAGCGGCTGTAGTCATCCTCCACCTCGTACGACTGAAGCACGGACAAGAGCGGGGCTCAGTCGGACTGGCAGAACACCACAGCGCTCCACATCACGTCGGCACAGCGTCCGCGACACACTGCAGCACTGTCTTAGTCGTCAGCCGCACACTCCGACACGCCTCCACCACACACTCCGACACGCCTCCGAAGCACACTCCGACACTCCTCCACCACACACTCCGGCACGCCTCCGAAGCACACTCCGACACTCCTCCACCACACACTCCGGCACGCCTCCGCCGCACACTCCGATACGCCTCCGCCGCACACTCCGACACGTCTCCGCCGCGCTGTGCTGGCGACCGAAGCAGAAAGGGGGGAGGTACGCGGCCACATCATGTCACACACCGCTAAGGCTCAAATGGCTATTTGGTTATACGTGCATACTCTCCCCCAGCCGACTGCCACAGCGCACGACGTCACTTCTGGCGCCGAGCCCGATTTGGGCACATCCAGCAGCGCGGGCTCGGCGCACGGCCGTGGGCGGGTGCCCCCCCCCCCCCCCCCCCGCTGAGCTACACCAGCCACCATAAACTAGCGAGTCGACGAGGGGTGCTTGATTAAGCGCACTGGTCACGTGATAGCCTGTTTTCTTGCACGTGGGATCCTCACACACGGACGGCGGCAGCAGCTGCCCACCACAGGACGCGTGGCGATTACGGCTGGTACGGAGCGGGCGTCGGGCTGCACGCCCTGCACGGCTTCCCTGCGTGGGTCGGCTCTCGATGGTCGGTCAGCAGTTTGAATTCAAGGCTGTGTGGGAGCGTGTGGGCTTCGCCATGCATGATTGCATGCGCGTCGCAACCCGTCATGTTTGCTCAGAACCACGTGGCTGGGTTCAGGATGATTACAAAAAGCGCTCACTTAGTCAACAACGCACGGCGGAGATGCCCGCCGATGGCCTTGTGCCGGAGAGCTGACGTTACTCGGCCAGGGCACGAGGCAGGTTCAGTTCAACCGGCCGGTTGCAGCGCCCCATCAGAAGGATGACCAGCGCGACAGCAGGTCACCTGATCTCGGAAGGTCCGCTGCGATCGGCGTCGCCCGGGCCTTGCAAGGCCTTCAACCATCCTGTACGCACCATGCATTTGCAATTTATTTAAAACGCAGTCCGCTGGCGACCTGTGCCATCCTACTACCTATTGTTACTGAGCTCAGCGATTGAGTGAAGGAATGTCCCAAATAACGAGCGTGCCAACCTCCCCTCCAAGCTATTATGACCGTGGCACGCCCCCGGGCTAATGTCACGCTTTCACGAAAGTTCTGTGGGTTACTCCCACCCCAGCCCTCTGTCCAAAGGCGCAGTGAGAACCTTGGCAAGGAGGGGGGGGGGGGGGGGGCGCAGGGTTGACGAGGGCCCGCTCCCCCCCCAAAAAAATTGCCTGATGTGGACCACTTATTTAACAGCATATAAGAGGCGGCCTTTTATTCGTGCATGCAGGTTAGGACACCACAGTTGTACACATAATTTGGTGCATGCTGCTTTAGAAGACATGGTCAGCGATCTATTGAGATGTGACAGAAGGATGGAATCTTTTGTACATTTTGGTGATGGAACAAATTTAAGTCCACCCTCGTCCTTCTTATTTGCAGTTGAAAATTGTCATCGTATTGCTTAATATCTACTTTGATGCGACAATTCCACTGCCTAGGCACTGATCACCGCTCTCTAAGCAACATCACAGGTGCTTGTCAAACAATGCTGTTAATAGGTGACACTGACGTGCCATTTTAGACACACTTTAATGTATAGGTCTAAAATAAAGGAGAAATGATAAAAATAAATGCTCCAATAGTCTTGGAGCTTGCGGATTAATGACGAGTCAGCATAGTAGCAGAGCGGGCTTATGCGGGCTGGATCACTAGCTGGTCGGCGGGCCGAGCTGTGGGGTGATATTTTGGAGACAGCTGCGTCTCAGGTCAGACCAACACGGAGCCAACTGTTCGGTGTTGGTAGCCTCGGGCTGACATAGAGGCCCACACCGTCCCAGGGGTGTCCTCAGTAGGTGCAAGAGGCCTTCTGACTGTTATTTCAGGCCAAGGCCCTACGGCTGGGATCCATTATGCGACCTCCAGCCAGCCCTTCCAGTTCTTACCTCCAATGGGGCCATTGATCGTCAGTTCCGGCGAGCCCCCGGCTCATCTTCCAACTTCATCGAACCCTTCCCTTGGTAGACTCGAGGCAATCGCCAATACAGAAAACTCTATAAGGCACTGTGGTTCCCTGACATAAAAAGGGGCTCGATCAGTACAAATCACTGGCCCGGCTTTGTAGGTGGATGGGAAGTGGGCCCTCGGGCCCATACCAACACGGAGCCCGCTGTGCGATACTGGTGGTGCCTGGCCGGCATAAAGGCTCTTATCGACTTAGGGGGTTCCCGGTCAGTGCAGAGCCATCTGACCGTTATTTGAGGGCCCGCCTCCGCCGGTCAGGACTTCTGAATAAGACTCCAACCAGCCCCTTATGCCCTCAGGCCTTCCAATCGGGCCAATGATCTCGGTCCCGTTGGGCCCCCCAGGCCCTCTCCGGGCCTCCTTGAGCAATGTATGTGGCCGATTTGGGGGCCATTTCCAACAGACAAGCTGGAAGCACTGTGGGGCCACTGACACGTCCTGGGGCTCCGACCAATGTAAACGCTGGCCCCAGCTTTGTCCCTGCTTAGGAAGTGGGCTCTCCGGCCCATACCGACATGGAGTCAACCATGCGCTGCCGGTGGTGTCTGACCGACATATAGGCCCTTATCGACTCAGGGGCCCCCGATCGACACGAAGGGATCCTCTAGATGGCATCGGCGTGCCCAGCCCTGCGAGCCGGGGCACCTGAATACGACTTCCGGTCGACCTTTTGGGCCCATCGGGTCCTCAAATCGGACCCTTAATCGTCAGTTCCAAATCTAAGGAGGGGGGGGGGGGGAGCACGCTCCCTTTGCCCCCTCATGGCTCCGCCACTAACACATCTTATCCTATGATCGTGGCTCGCTGCGCTACGCAATACAGGTTCCTCCATGATGACCTTGGACTACCTCCAGAACACAAATCTTGCGGCGCCCGTAACTCAACTGCACGTGACCTTGATAACACGCACCGGTTAGGGGATCGCTGTGTTAGTCGCACACTGGTCTCGCAGTTGCATCATCAGTAGCCAAAGTTAAACAAAGGCCAGAGCATTGAGAATGGAGGCGGATGGATAAATGTCAGTGGATGGCTGTTCCAGGAAGTGGATGGAGTTAACGGAAATTAATTTTTGCCGTGGAGCGCCACTGGGCTTTTGTCAATTTGCCAAACATTGGGGAGACCTATTTTCCTCCGCTCCCCAGCCCGTTCCATACCTGGTGGTTAAAACTAGCAGGGTGCAGTGCAGCCTAACAAGAAGTCAATGCAGCCAATGCCATGCAGGTCATAAGGCCGCAGACCGGCAGCAGCCACCCTTCCTGCCGCATCCCAGCCGGGGCGCCCGTTAGCTCCGCGCGCGCGTGGCCGCCGGCTAACTGTGAAGTGCGGACCGGCTGCGGGGCCGGCCGTCTGACGTCACCGGCGGCGCTGACGTCACATCGACGCCGGCCGATTGTGCGGCGGCGGTGGCGGCGGCGGCAGTGCGCGGCGAGGCGGACCGGCGCAGGGAGCTGCCAGACGGCGGCCATAGCGGAGTGAAGTCACCGACCCCAGCGGCCGCACCCGGCGACAGCAGCATGCCCAACAGCAGCGACCCGCTGCGGGGCGAGACGGGCGCGTGGCGCGCGGCCCACCCGCCCGAGTGTCCCAGCCGGCCGTGGGGGTACGGCGCGCGGCCGGCCAGCCGGCCAGCGGCGCATGCAGCCAGCCGCGGCCTCCAGCTGCTGCTGGCCGCCACCGCCGGCGCCGGCGCCTACGCCTACTATCACAAGGTGTACGGCTACGCGTGCGAGAAGCCGCACCACGCCCAGTGTGGGAAGCCGCATCATCCGTCAGCGGCGCCACAAGGACCGGCGCACAAATAGGCGGCGGTGTCGGCCGCTCCCCAGTGCTGTGCTTTGTCTTCTGCTCCGCTGCGCGCGTATTCAGCCGGCGGCGCGCGCCCCGCCGGCGCCTGCGATTCTGTGCGACTGACGTGCGACGTGTGACGTGACGTGTTGTGTGTGACGGCGCGCCGACTGGCAGCGCTGCCGGGGACGGCACGGGCAGCGCCGGCCTCGCGCTGCGGGGCCACCACAAAGAGCGGCGGCGAGCCGGTGGCGTGGCCGGGTCGGCCGTCACGAGGCCGTGACTGGGCGGAGACACGCGAGCCGGCCGCCGGCGGCCCGGCGCGGTGGTCGGCACATCCTGCGGTGCGGTGCGGCGGCTCGGCCCGACTCAGCCGAGCGTCCGCCGCCAGCCGCCGCCACGCCGCCGGATGGCCGTGGAGCTCCCCGAGACCGGCTCATCACGCCGCGCCTCGCCGGCTGGCCGGCCTCGGTCGATACGTGACCTGCGCACCGGGCGACGCGCCGAGCCAGGTCATGGCGTGCCGCGACAGGGCCGCAGCTGGCGGCGCCGGCGCGGCCCCACGGGCGACAGGCCGCCGCCACGCACGCCGGGCACCATCCACGGCCGTGACAGTGGCCGGGCGTCACTCCTCTTCCAAGCCTGCATTCCAATATACGGTTTTTTCGCGCAGTTGTTTGAACCGGGTGAATGTATCAGCCGGCCATCGCCACGGGACCTGTGTGCAGCGCCAGCGACGGCAGCACTGGTGACGGCACGCGACTTCCAGAAACATCGCTCGATGTATCGCTGGCTGGTCATCACAACTGGCGGCCGCCGGGCGTCGACGTTCTCAGACGTCCACCGATGGTTAGCAAAGAAACCCCAGCCAACTGTCACAGAACTAGCGTTTCGGGTCGTTTATCATTCAGTGTCAACAACTTTAGAGCCTTAGCCAGCAGCTGTGCGTGTGTCTTGCATTGACATGCATATTGACAAACCAGCGCCCGTGTCGCCTGTGGCACGCGCCCACGCTGGCCCAACGCCAAGCG